AACCTCGATATCTCACTAGGCACAAGCTAGGGGCACGGACTTTTTGTACGGTAGACATAATTCATCAAGGCCTACAAGATGCGCAAAGTCTCGATTAAAAATCGCTTCAACACCTGGGAATGTTCCCTCGTAAGTTATATAAAATAAAACCTGTAAGAACATACTATAATGTTACAAACTGGACAACCAAGTCAATGATTCCAACACTCAGATTCGTACATTTTGGCAGATTCTCATCGAAAGACTCGGGAAAATGGTAGGAACTTCAGAGTCAGCCACCAAGTTCCTACCTTCTTCTCGGTCGTAAACAGTGCGTATTTCTTGATCTCAAATAAATGAATCATTTGAAATATTTACAAGTTTTGTTTTTCACGGCAGCCTTTTTGAACACTACAAAAAATCTTTATATATACTTTTCTGTTGAAAACAGGGTATTTGTTTTTTGCTATACACAACGGTCAAAAGGAAGCGAGTTGTTCTTTGATAAAAAAAATGATCTCTCGATCCTTTATCTAAATTTTAGTCTCATCTTTTTTTTTGAAAGATCAATCGACATTCTAATCGTTTTCTACTGGAACGAAAAGAAAATCCTAAGAATAGAAAAGTCTTCCAGTAATATTTGTGTTTTCAAAAAAAGAAATGTTAAATTTGAAAATGATTTATCTGAATATAATTTAATATAGATATGTATTTTATTCAACAATTTTACGTCCAGCAAAAATCTATCGTATGTTATCTGATGGTACAAATCGTAATATAATTGTTCCAAATGAATTGGGTACACCCTATCATTTAACATGTGATTATTCAGCAAAACGTCTTTATTGGACTGATGGTGCACTATCACGTATTCAACATTCGGATTATAATGGTCGAAATATTCAATCATTAAGAGGACGATTAATTTCACATCCATTTGGAATTGCAATTTATGGATGTAAGAAAATAAAAATAAAATAATTCATTCATGAAAAAAAAAATATAACTTTTATTTTGATATCTTATAGCTCGTCTTTATTTTACTGATGCAACATTAGAAAGTGTATTTGAAAGTAGTAAAACATACAGGTATAGTATAAAATATTGCGTGTAATCTTAATTATTAGTTGTTCGATGTCTAGTGGTTATGCATCGCCTATTCGATCAAATATTCCATCGATTACAACAGTTAAAGTTTATGCAGAATCATCTCAACCAATGAATAGTATGACAATACAAATGCAAGAACAACATTGAATTTTTCGCTTTTTCTTCTGTTTATTATAGTTACACATCCATGTCGAAGAAATAATGGTGAATGTTCAGATTTTTGTTTTCCCAGACAAGAACAAGGTGTTTTAACACGAGTGTGTGGTTGTCGTTATGGACGAAAATTAAATTCATTGAATAATCAAGAATGCATTGATAATTCTCAAGCTGAACCAAGTCAAACATCATGTGATGGACGTTTTCAATGTCGAAATAGTCGATGTATTCCATTAAGTTACAAATGTGATGGAGGTAAATCATTCAAATTTATAATAGAAAGAAGAAAAATAACAAGAGAAATTCTTTTCATTTTAATAGATGATGATTGTCATGATAATAGTGATGAACAAAATTGTCCAGGTAAAGAAAAAAAATAAATACATACATACAGCTCTAAACAAAATTAGCTGTTCTTCACGAAGTGTTACTAATCTTTATAATATTGAACTGATACTTTGGACGAATGCGTGTGACAATAAACTATGATCACAAGCACTAACTTATCCTCCATCGATATAAAAAAAAAATATTCAGCAGAAATATGTACTTGAAAAGTTTTTGTTCATCATTTTAATATTCCACTAATTACTACTGTTCCTTTTTTGTCTAACTTTAAATGCAGTCCCACATGTCGACTTTATTATAATTAAAATCAATAGCTAGAGATTTGCGGGACCATGATTCCGAGAAAGAGATGCTGCTGAGATAGCAGTTGCAAAACGTCTACCAGATAGGTTTTCAGAATTTTATACACGCATGCATTTTTTGTATTGTTAGTTGTTAGTGGAATAAATAGTAAATGGTTATACAGATTTCTGTGACATTTTTAGAATTCTGTTTAATTATTTAACGGCACAGGCCTTAATGGTTCAAAAATACGGAAAAAGATCTGATTCTTTTAGTATTCAAGAATCTGTTTAGAATTTAATATTCAAAAAAGAATTTTGTTTCGAATATAATCCAGTTGTTACCATATGAATTATTGGAATTTTGAAATTCTCTTAAGCATTTAAAAAGTCTAGTCGTATTATAAAGCACAAGAATGTGTTAGGTAAACAATTGCGATGAATTGTGGTGTATTTATCGGTTCAAAGTGAAGGATTATCTTGATTTGGTGAATCCGATGAAGAAAGGATAAATCATGTGTGAAATGGTAGAGACTACAGATTTATTTATTTACAGCAAAGTTCTTTGAATTCTTAGTATAATCTTGTGTTTAGATCGAGAAAATATTAGACTAATGTGTCTGCGACAAACATTGTTTTGTACTCTGCCTTTATTAACCATCATTATCTATAAATAACCGTGAATCTGTTCAAATTCGGCTAGTTTTTTAAAACCTGACAGAATTTTGTTTCCAAAATAGAGACAGTATGACTGACAGAGTTTGTCTTCTGTTACTAGCTATAGAATTCTATTCAAATTCTGACGACTCTTTTAAATTCTCAACGAACACTTTTGTTCTTCGAAGAAACATTACATATGATAAAGCTTATCTTCTAATGCTGAGATTTGAATATTGACAAAGTTCTGCTATATTTTTTAATTTCTTAGTAGATGTCTATTTCAATAGAATCGTTTTTGTCTATCGATGGGCTTGAATAAAAAAAATTCCTTGCAGTTTTCATTATGTTTGATCCGTTATCTAATATGGACAATTCTAAATTCTGTTTTGTTAGGCATTCTTCAGGCTCTCACATGTAGAACAATGTGAGTTGCTGTGAGCAGTCAGAGTTCCTTGTCACACGGATCTACTCAAAGTATAAACTCAATATATCATAAAGAATTTAGTAACACTTCATGAAAAGCAGTCAATTAAGTTCAGAATTGTATATTGTTTTATATATATGTTCATGTAGCTGGAACACCAACATGTGGAACAAATCAATTTCAATGTCGAACTAGTGGTGTTTGTATAAATAAACAACTTGTTTGTGATGGTTATCCACATTGTCACGATCGTTCAGATGAATCTAATTGCAGTATGATGAAAAAAGATTTTGTTTTACTTTTTCAATAGAAAACTTTTGTTGTTTTTTTGTATCAGGTCAAACTTGTCCGGAAAATCGATTTCGTTGTGCAACAGGAAAATGTATTCCTAAATCATGGATATGTGATAATGGTAAAAGAAAAACAGAATTTCTTTGTGTTTTTTATTTATTTGTTTTTTTTTTGTATAGAAAATGATTGTGGTGATTCAAGTGATGAACAAAATTGTCAAGGTGAATATATATTTGATTGTTTTCTATTTAGAAAAAAAATTTGTTTTGTTTAGAAAGAACATGTGATCCATTGACACAATTTGCTTGTCCTCATACACCTGGGAAATGTATTCCGAATGGTATGTTAAAACACGAAATTTTCTAATTTGTAACTAATGCTTGTTGTTTTCTTCTATCAGGATGGAAGTGTGATGGCCAAAATGGTAAGACTTAGCTTTTTTTGTTTTTAATCTTAAAATATATTTCTTATTTATTTGAAACTATTAGATTGTGGTGATAATGCTGATGGTAAGTTAATAAAGAAATATATTTGTTCGTTGTTTAGAATAAATTTTTCTTTTTGAGAACTTGATTGTCCACCGATAAGTTGTGGTGCTGGACAATTTTTATGTTCACGTGATCGTAGATGTATTAATGCAACACGACGATGTGATGGTATTGCAGGTATGTAAATATTCATAAAGTAATTTAAATATTTAATAAATGTATTTAGATTGTCAATCAATGGAAGATGAACGAAATTGTGCTGGATCAACACCATCATTTTGTCGAGCAGATCAATTTCGTTGTGGATCAACTTGCATACCAAATGTAAGTAGAAATTAAAAAGATGAATTTTTATTTTTGAAAAATTCTTTATTTTAATTAGGCTTGGCGCTGTGATGGTCATCGAGGTAAAATAAATATATCAAAAGAAGAAAAAAAAAAAAAAAGAATTTTTATTTGAATTAAATTTATTTAGATTGTGCTGATGGATCTGATGAACCACCAAGTTGTGGTTCGTATTTTGTTTTTTTTTTCTAATTGATACGAAAAGTGATTAAATTTATAGGTGCACGAAATTGTACATCAAATGAATTTCGTTGTGTATCAACAGGTGATTGCATTCCAAAAGGGTGGATGTGTGATCATGAAGTAAAGAATTTCTTTATTTTTGAAAATTTTGAAAAATATTTCAACTTTATTAAGGATGATTGTGATGATGGTTCAGATGAAAATGCAGAACTATGTCGTAAGAATTATTTAGACTTTTATTTTTTTCTCAATGAAAATTTCAATTTTTCATCAATGAGAATAGAAAATACGCCTTTTTCATGTCCAGAAAATCAAATGGTATGTCCTGGCACAACAATTCATCAATGTGTAAATGTTACACAAGTCTGTGATGGGTAAATATTTTTTTGTTTAGTTATTGAGTATGTCTTTTGAGAGTCTACCAGAGTTTACATCGACTTTATTGGAGTGGAATGAAACTACCAGATCTATATATTGTTCTTGGATCAAATAGTAAAACCATCATTAAGACCAACTATCTAATTTTTTTACAACTTTCCTCAGAAAAATCTACGAGATTCTTGAAACGAAACTTATAGACAGGAATCCTACGAGTTCTGAAAGTTTTGTTTCATTTCGATAAAGTCTAGCACATTCTTGAAAGAAATATCCTATGTTTATGAATTTTGTTTTTAAAGTAAACTTGATTGTCCTGGTGGTGGTGATGAATCACCATTATGTAATAATGATCAATGTTCAATTGATAATGGTGGTTGTAGTCATACATGTCATCGATCACCATTTGGTGCTTTATGTCTTTGTCAACCAGGTTTTCGTGTACGAAATACAACGAATTATAAAAAATGTGAAGGTAAAAGATTTTTTTTTTTTTGAAATAAAAACAATAATTTAATGTTGATGTTTGCTGATTTCTTTAGATATCAATGAATGTACAGAAGATCCGAATACATGTCATCAATATTGTTTAAATACAAATGGAAGTTTTGTATGTTCATGTGCTGACGGTTTTGTATTGCAAACAGATGGACGTAGTTGTAAGATTATCAGTAAGTTTTCAATGAATAAATATTTCATAAGATTTTTTAATCTTAATAGAGAAAGAAGCAAAGTAGAAGATATGTTGATTAATAAATTTTCATAGAGTTTATCCCAACAACTCTGAACAAAAGATCTGAGGCGACTTATTCATTTGAGGTTTTTCATATCTCATTGACGTCTACCTTATGCATAGAGTCTGAATTCCAAAGTGATTAATCAATCAAAAACGTTCATCTGTGTAAGAGCAGAATTGAAAAAAAGCGATTTTGCACGCTGAATTTCATTTATACTCATACGACAGTTCACAAAAGCGAAAAATATATGAATTTACTCTTCAAATTCGTAGGAGTACAAAACTTCATCAATATCGACCAGACTTTAAATCGATTTTTTATTATTCCTAAGACTTTTTAAACTATACATAAAAATTCCTCATATAAATAGTGAAAATTTCTAATGTCTTTAGATGAAACTGGTATTCGTTTATTAACTGTACGTCAAGCAACAATGGAATGGTTTTCACCAACATTAAAAACTTATGGTCAAATTAATCTTGGTTCCAATATGCGTTATATAGTTGCATTTGATATTGATAATCGAACAAATACATATTTCTGGTGTGATTTAGTAACAAATATAATCTATAGTCGTACGGAAAGAGCAAATAATTATACTAAAGTAAATAAATTTACTCAATTAAAAAGAATAACAATATTTCATATATATAATATTTAATTAATTTAGCTTATTACAAGTGGTAATAGTTTTATAGCTGATATGGCATTTGATTGGATTGGACGTAATTTATATTGGACGGATTATATGCTTGAACATGTTGAAGTTTCAACATTTGATGGTCGTTATCGTCGAATATTATTTCATGAAAATTTAACAAATCCATGGTCAATTGCTGTTGATCCACGTGCTGGTTTACGATATTTATTTTTAACTGATTGGGGTAAAAATCCACGTATTGAACGTGCTAGTATGGATGGTCAACAACGTCTTAGTATAGTTAATGATTCAATTGAAATGCCAGTTGGTTTAACACTTGACTTAATACGTCAAGAAATTTATTTTACAGATCATCATTTAAATTATATTGAAGTTGTTAATTATAATGGTGAAAATCGACGAAAAATTTTAGCTAATACACATTTTTTACATGGACCAATATCAATAAATGTTTATGAACAATATCTTTATTGGTATGATTCATATTCAAATCAAGTAAGACGTTTAAATCGTTTTGAACATGGAATAAAGGCACAAAAACATGAAACAATAATGTCAAGATCAGGAGTAATTTCAATGAAAATGTCACATCAAATTTATCAACCATATGGTAAATTACATAGAAAAAAAGAAAATGCTTTTTCAAAAAAAAAAAAACAATTTTTATTTTTTTTTTGTTTTAATTAAGAAACAAATCCGTGTCAACAATCTCGTTGTACACAATTATGTCTTCTTTCTCATAGTGCACCATTAGGTTATATATGTGCATGTTCAACTGGTTTTATTCTTGATCAAGATCAAATTACATGTTCAAAAGGTTTTTTTATAAAAAAAAAAAATTTTGATTCGTTTTAGTTCAAATATTTTTATTTCTTTTAAGATCGTTCACCATTTATTATTTATATGAGACGTGATACAATTGGTGGAATTAGTGTAAGACATAATCAACAATATATTGATGAAAATTCAAATTATGATGATTTATGGGAACGTTTTGTTACTGTAACTGATCTTCATAATGGTTATGAATTTGCATTTGATGAAGTTAATGAAACGATTTATTGGACACAAGCTAAAGGTTACTTACCAGATGGAACTCTTACAGTAAGAAATTCTTTCAGTTTGTTTTCAAATAAAGAACATTATAGTGCTAGAGAAGAAAAAAACTTAATAATAAAAGATGTTAGCAGAATCTCTGTGGGACTAAAATTTAAAACATGATTCAACTACTCTTGCTAATCATAGGAAAGTTATTTTATTCTATACCTCTTCGAACATATATCTTCATCATCTTTTTACTTAATTCGACAGAAATGCAACAAGAAATTAGTTCATATATTCTAGCCAACCGCTATTGATATACAACCTATGATCGTGTATATACACAGCGTATATCACGGTCCGAAGGGAATTCGAATTTGTATCGTATATAATTCAAGACTCCTTTAAGATTATGTTCCACAAAATATGAAGGATAAGAATTTTAAAAACACCTTATTTAGGTTTCAGTCAGTATGAATATAAAGTGCATGGAATTCTTTTGTGTGTTATTCACTGTGCATCATATATATTTTTAATTAAAACAGGACTAATAAATAATGTAGATTATGTAATACTCGTTTTATGTTTTTGAAAGACAAATATAATGAATGTAAGCTTTCAGTCGAGATTTTGCGGCTGCCTCTTCAAAGCAACGGGAGAAGGCTAACAATCATTGGGAACGTTTTCATATCAATCGAGGACAACCAGCATCCTATTATTTTCCTAGAGTTCCTTAGCAACGAAAGACAAGTAGTGAACCAATCAAGTTATAACTTTCGAAAATAATCAATATTAATATTTCTGAGCTTATCAAATTTTGTGTTAGTATAATAAGGCTTAAGAACGCCTTTGAGCTTCACATTTGATCCTCCATCAGAACTGTGCCGATAAGCCTTTTAATATTATCTAGATTTCCTATGAAATTTCGTCGATAAAAAAAAAAGTCAACAACATTCCTAAGGAAGATTCTCTTTAAATATCAAAGAATATATTTAATTAATGACTTGACATTTTGTATAGTATGAAATTCGTCGAATTAATTTCGATGGTACTAATGAAACTGTTTTCTATGGTGATGATGAAATATTAGTTGGTATGGAAGCTGGTACAATGCAAATTGATGCTGTCGGACGGTAACAGAATTCCATTCTTCTTTTTCTTTTTTTTAATAATTATTTTCTTCAATTTCTCATTAATTATTAGTAATCTATTTATTGCTAATATTCGTCATAGTCGAATAGATGCAATATCTTTAAATGGTCTATATCATACAATAGTATTTAGTAATCATGAAAATGCTACAGGTATAATGCGACCAACAGCACTTGATCTTGATACAACAAATGGGTATTGTTTAGTTAAAAATTTCCTTTTTTTTTTGTTGATTTTTGAAAAATAATTTGTTAGTTTTGTTTATTGGATTGATTTTGGTGGTGGACAAGTTCCTATGAAAATAGGTCGTGTTCGTTTTGATGGAAAATATTCTGAAAATATTATTGTTGATAATCTTTTACAACCAAATTATATTGTTTATAATCTTGATCTTCATTGTATATTTTGGAGTGATATTGGTATACAAAAAGTAAAAACAATAAAGAAATGCACTAGTCATGTTCTTATTATTTTTTTTTTTTTATAGATTTCATATCATTGTATGGATTCAGGTGATACAAAAATTCTTGATGTTGAAGTAAATCATCCACGTGGTTTCGATTTTCTTACACATTATTATCCTCCAACATCACCATTGATAACAACTAATGAAAATGATGATATAACATCAACACATTATTCATTATTTTTTGTTGATAATGAATATGAAGGTGTTTATAAAAAATGGTTTGATCATCGTTTAAGTCCTGTATCAGATGTTATACCCGTACGAACAAATCAAGAAGATCCAAGACAAGTTCGTGCTTATCCACGTTATGAAGGTTTAATTATATTTCTTTTTTTGTCTTCGTCTATTAATAAGATAATATTTTATTATTTAGCTTTCAATGCATATTGTTTTTATGGTTCATATTGTGAACAAATTTGTTTTCAAATTGATTCTAATAATCGTGATACACCAACATGTGATTGTGCTATTGGATATAAATTAAATAGTGATGGACGAACATGTTCACCTAAAAGTGAACAATATATTGTTTATAGTACACATTCATTGTTAAGAGCATTTGATTATCGATCAAATGATTCAGCAAGAGAAGATGTTATGCCATTGATTGCTGGTAAGATTTATTATAGTATTTTCAAATAAGAATTGAGTTCTCGAAGATAAATTGAATGATATTGTATGCATCGATGTAAATACCATGGTTTGTCAGTAGAGAGCAGCAGGTCTGTCCAGACCCGGACCCGGTCGGGTCCGGGTCCGGGTCCATATGTGATTTACTTTCAGAGCCGGTTTGTATTCAGCTAAAAATATAAATATTGAAGGCCTCAGGTCAACGTATAATATTTTCTATATTCTGTTTCCAAATTTCTTGGCTATTTTTCATATTGTATTTAACAAGTCATTTGACATACAAATAACAAATGAAGTTGAAAAAAAATAGACGAATGTGAATAACATGTTTTGATTACACCTAAATATATAGTACTTATTTCATCATAAACAAAATTAATATTTCGTTTTTATTCTTGTTCATCGTCTTCAATAGATATATCACTATTTTTATGAACAATATCTTCATCACTAAACAGATCATCACCAAAAGTTCGAATCTTTTTGGTTGTCGATGATGATGTTGATGACAACTGTTCTTGCAACCAATAGTCAGCTGAAATCATGAGCCTTCACTTGTTCATATATACAGAGGGTGCTAGATATTGGCGAAACACTTAACGGGTCTGGACCTGACCGGGTCTGGACCCGTACGGGTCCGAGCCCGAATATATCAAGCCCGGGTCCGGGTCTAGAAAACTAATGCCACCCGGGTCCGGGTCCGGGTCCGACAATTTTGCTTTTCGCGGGTCCGGGTCCATAAAAACCTGGGCCCGCTGGTCTCTATTTGTCGAATGACAGTTTTCAAGTTCGCTAAGCAATTTTTAAGCAAATAAATATGTGTTTTGTCGTCATATTAGCATAAGTTAGAAAGAAGGTATCTTTATATATTTCGGATTGAATACATATCAATTTTGTGAAGAACGCTGAACTGATCACAATATTAACAAATTTATTAATCATTGATCTGAGAAGAAATTACTGTGACTCATAATTTTGAAAGTTTTGTTTTCAGCACGCATCATCGGTACATTAAATGCATCGTATTCGAATTTATAGAATTCTACGATTCCAATCTTACAAGAGAAGTTCTTCAACTAATAAATCGCTTTTGAGTCGAGACTACATGAATTATGTAGAACCAAATAACTTATGAATATCCTGAAAAGAGTTCGTGCTCTTGGTTTATTTTTGCGTAAATACTGCACTTCTACGGTAGTTTTCAAATGTCTCCATTAGAAACACCAGGAAAACTGATTTTCGCATTTCACCTTGAAACATTACATAGAGACAGAAAAGTTCATTGTGAAAGTTTTAGATCTTTACATTGTTCCTGTCCTAAGATATATCTATGGTAATAGCATATCTTTTATATGGCTTAACTATAATGGTAGATTCGATATTTTTATTTTAGAATAGCAGCAAATCAACAGACTTGAAACTTTAACATACTATGTATAATTAAGGCTTATCGCTGTAGAAAGTTTCAAGTCGAAATTTGAAAATCAGTTGTCCTGAGGGTTACTATGGTATTCATTTAAAAATTACTGTAGGAATGCGTGACACGAGTTCCGGTCACTGGGATCAGGACTTAAGTTTATAGCAAAATATCTTATAAATCATATGAATCAGCACATAATTGAAGAGAGATTATCCAAAAACGTGCTAGACGCTGAATAAATAAATAAAAAAAGAACGAGTATTGAAGAATTATTTTAGATGTGATACGAATAAATTCTGGAATAGTTTTCTCTAGATCGGAACCAAAATAACTTGCTTCAGCCCAAACTCTTCAGAATATTCGAAACTAAGATGAGTCAACATAATGTATATTGTCTTGATTTAAAAGGAACTAATCATTTGGGAAACTTCCCTCATAAGAAAAATCCATTCAGTATGCCTGTGTTTCATTTGTTCTAAAGATATTGCAATACTCCCTCATTTCCCCCTCATTCACCCACAATAGAAGACTCCAAGTCTTCTATTATGTCTAGAGCATTGTTCCTCCAAGGGAAATCTTCTATAGCGGAGGGATTACATAATGTTCAAGCCATTTGCAATAAACTTCTACGTAGGTTTATGGAATTTAAATTAATACTTTTTCTATCCTCAGGTAATGATATGGAAATGCTAACAGTTCGATATTCGAATCGTGAATTATATTGGATAAATGCAAATCGTTTAATTCGTCGTGCAATATGGACAAATAATCGAACATGGAATGTAACAAATTATCTACAAATAAGTATTGGATCACAAAGAAATTCTATTCTTGGTCTTACACTTGATTGGATAGCTGGAAATTTATATTTTTCTTATATAACAAATTCATATGGTCATTTAGAAGTTAATCGTCTTGGTACAGATCATCGTTTAATCTTACGAAAAGGAACAAATGAAACAATTTATGCTATTGCTGTTAATCCAAAACGAAGGTAAAACTAAAGAAAAAAGAAATGGAAATCTAAAAAATGATTTTATTATTCTTTTATAGATTTCTTTATTGGTGTGATCGTGGTCAACGTGTTCGTATAGGTCGTTCATTACTCAATGGTGAAAATATAACATATCTTGTAACAACACAAATTATTCGACCAGAATCAATAGCAATTGATTTTCTTACTGATGATATTTATTGGTCGGATTCTATACGTGATACAGTTGAATCTATTTCATGGGATGGAAGAAATCGTCGTACAATTTCACGTAATATTCCAAAAGCAATTAGTCTACTTATTGCAAATAGTGATTTATATATCATGGATCGAGCATTTTCATCGGTAAATCTGTTTTTTTTTCTTTAAATAATCATTTCGTTAATTTTGTTTGTTTGTTTGTTTTAAAGATAATGCGCATTAATAAAACAGCTAGTAATATGACACAACGTTTAGAATCAATATTAACATTAAAAACATTTGAAGTTGGTGGTATGACATTATTTGACGAACAACCAAATTTTGAATCACCATGTCAAACGTCAACAGTTCGACAACGTTTTTGTGAAGATCTTTGTTTTGCTATGCCTGATACAAGTGTACCACAATGTGCATGTGCATATGGAACATTAAATATAGATCGACGAACTTGTGCACGTAAGAAACTTTTTTGTTTGTTCTTTTGATAAAATCAAAACTTAAAATTTTTTTTTTTTTGTAGCACCAAATGAATATTTACTTGTTGCAATGGAAAAAGAAATTCGTTCAATGTCAATGGAACCACATGGTTTTTCAACAAGTGCACCATGGCGTGCAATTACAAATTTAAGTATGGTTGTTGGAATTGATTTTGATTATCGAGATAAGAAAATATTTTATACGTAAATGATTTTGTTTTTGTTTTTGTGCAATTAATTATGAATTTATTTTTAAAAGGGATCTTCGTTTACAAGATATATTTTCATTTGATATGAATGATCCAAATCCACATGCACGACAACTAGTACAATCAAATGTTACTGGTAAAATACAAAAACATATTAAATCAATAAAATTTAAAAAATTTTGTTTTTTCTTTAAAAAAAAATTAAGGTCGTTCACAACCTGTTGGTATATCATATGATTGGGTATCGGATCGTTTATATTGGACAGATGAACGATACGGAAGAATAATTTCAGCAAGAAATAATGGTTCAGAAAGATTAATTATAGCTGGTAGTTCACAACCAAGAGCAATTGCTGTTCATCCATGCAAAGGGTTCGTTGATATTTTCTTTCTTCAACACAATAAAAAATATGTTTTTTTTTTTCTAAAATGTAGATTATTATTTTGGTCAACTGTTGGTATTTATCCATCAATTCGTCGTTCGACATTAACTGGAAGACAAGTAACTTATATTATTACGACTAATATAAGATGGCCAAATGGATTAACAATTGACTTTGATGATGATCGTATTTATTGGGCAGATGCTTGGTTGTAAGTAGTTTTTAGTTTTAGAATATTGATTAGAAAAATTTTGAGAGAAATTTTGTTTTGTTTCTTAATTCTCTAAATGTAGTTCATAAGAATTAAAATTTGTCTTTAACGCGAAGGTTGTTCATGCATAAAACAAAATACGAATTCAACATAAAGAATTCGTTGATCACTTCTGACAACAAAAGTTCTCCTATTGTTAAATCGCTTTTGAGTCGAGATTATGTGTATTACGTAGATCAAAATGAGCTATGAATGTTCTGAAAAGAGTTCATGTCCTTAGCTTATTTTTGTAGAAACACTGTAGTTTAATAGTATTTTTCAAATGAATGTCGTGGTAACAGAAAAACTAACTTTCAAACTTCGACTTGAACTTTTGCGTTGAAACAGGCTTTAAAGAAAGTAGTCTTTTGTGAATGTTTCAAAGTTTGTCGTTGTTCCTATCCTTTGATACAACTATGGTAATAGGATGTCTTTTATATCGCTCATATAAGTCAGCAGATTTCATGCTTAGATGAAAAGGCGTTAAACCTTTTGTGATGAATTACTCTCGTTAAGATCTGTTTTTTTTTGTAAAGTTTCAAGTCGAAATTCGGAAATCAGTTTTTCTCGATCACGACATTCATTTAAAAACTACCATGAAAATGCGATATCTCAGCAGTAATAAGTTAAGGGTGTGAACTCTCTTGAAGGTATTCATAGCAGATTCAGATCTACATAATGCATATAGTCTTGATTCAAAAACGATTTACTAGTCAAAGGACTTGTTTCATGAGGTTTTATAGTTACAAAAAAAAAGAAGCATAGATCACTTGGTAGATATAAGACAACAGACTTTTGTCTGTATCTGAATGCTATATAATGAATACAGTGAAAAGTAAAAATAAGAAAACAACCATAAGATGCCAAACTGCTTTGTACATATTAGACTGAACTCGAACTCTATATCTAAATCATAAAATATCTTACTATTAGATTGAAATAGAATCGAAAAATACTTTCTAAATATTAAATTTAGTGATCGTATTGAACGTGCATCATTGGATGGTACAAATCGAGAAGTTATATCAACAGTTGTTCATCCATTTGCAATAACTGTTCATGGACATTACATTTATTGGACTGATTGGGCTTTTCGTAAGTTGTTTAATGAAAATAATTTTCTAAAACAAAGTTTTCTTCTTCTCTCTTTCAGGTGGTATTTATCGTGCCGAAAAATATACTGGTGCTAATATGATTGAAATGCAAAACGATCTTCCATATCGTCCAATGGATATTCATGTTGTATCTGATCAACGTCAAAAATGTTCCTATTCACCATGTAATATAAGTAATGGTGGTTGTAGTCATATATGTAAAACATCAGCTGATAATCAAGTTGAATGTGCATGTCCAAGTGGACAACAATTAAAATTAGCTAATGATCGACGAATGTGTGTTCGTAAGTAAAATTTGAAACGAGAAAAAAAACAAAGAAAAAAAAAAAAAATTCTTTTATTTACTTTTAGCATTATCATCATCATGTGCTTCAGTGAATTTCACTTGTCGAAATGGTCAATGTCTTTCAAGACGAAAAGTTTGTGATGGTCAATCAGATTGTTCTGATGGTTCAGATGAAGATACAAGATTTTGTTGTAAGAAAATTATTCTTTGAAAATAAATTTAATTCATTCCTATTATTTTATAGCACGTTACACTTGTCGACCAACTGAATATCGATGTTTGAGTGGTGGCTGTATTCCATACATTGAACGATGTGATCGAAAAATCGGTAAGTAGAAAAAAAAGAAAGCTGTTAGCACAATCTCTGTGAGATTCAAATGTGAAACGCAATGTAACTGCTCTCGCTAATCACAAGGAGATAGCTTTATTTTATCTATTTTGGAATGCACTTCTTCACCATTCTTTTACTTGATCCTCCGAAAATACCATGAGAACGTAGTTCATATATAATAACGAGACATTATTGATATAAAATCTTTCATCGCATATCAACAACATCTCTCATGGTCTCTTGCTAGCGTCTGCTACGGTCTGAAGAGCTCCAGATTTTTACCACTATATTTCAGCACTTGTTTTAGATCATATTTCACAAGAAAGAAGATAAATTTTCTTTAAAAATTTTTTTTTTATTTAATATAGATTGTAATGATNATATTTTAACCGTAATCTATCCTAGCCTAGACTAACATTCTCTGAAATTTTGGTTGAAATCGGATGAAAAATAACAAAGTTGATTTCTGAGGGGGGGGGGGGGCTTAAGTAATGTTGAAGAATCAAAAATCGAGTTTTAAACACAATGTAAAATGCTTTAAATGAAAAAAGTTGATTTCAATCAAAGTAGTCAAGAATTTTGTTTTCTATAAAATAATTATCAGTTGTATTTATCAAGAAACCGTTAAAGTAGAGATGTGCAGAGTAGAGTAGGATAGTCCGACACATTTCTACTTTGCAAGTCATAATGGAAATGATGTTCATTCATTTTTATCAACATTATTATATTAACATTACTGTAATTGATTCTACTTCACTCTCAATTTATTTTTTATATGTATAATTCGATTGCAAAAATATACAGTATTTTTCTAAAAAGTATAGCATGATCCAATTTAAAAAAAAAAACAAACAAACAATAATTTCTATCACACAATGTTTGTTGACTGTTGTTTACCATCAAGATACTTGCATGGTTTTATTTTTTCATGTACAAGTTGAACAATGTTGTGCCATTGTGATTGAATTCCAATAGTTCTAGTGTCTGTGTAGTATAATATAAAAATGTATGATGTAAATAAGTTGATGAATAGCATTATTGTCTTGAGAACTGATGATATATCATGACTGTTTATCTTCGATTCTATTCAATCGAATATACAACATTTCGAGCGTCTAATTTAAAAAAATATATGAAATGTATACATGAATGAATCGAGATTTTGTTGTACATTATTATTTGCTAACACATTAGAAAGATATTGTGCACTTTGGCAATCAATTTTGTTGTTACGAAGATGAAAGGTTGTGATGATCTGTTTTGAATGATAAAGATTAATATAAAGTAGATTACTAAAGAACTTTTTTTTGTTTACCGTACTCTTTTGTAATGCATGAGCTAAATGTTGTGCTTCTTGATCGCTGATGCTATTTTCGACTATATTCAGTATCACGAGAGATCGTTAGGATTGATTAGAGGAACGTCAGAAATATGTCAATAAGTCATATCTCTTTGTATTATTTTCTAATGCACTAACTAAATATTGTACTCCTTTGTTTGCTGATTTTGTTAAATGTAAGATTCAAATTTATTTGCGTCTTTGTTGAATGATAAACATTAATAATGAAATTAATCTATAGAATATGAATCTCGTGAATTAGTTTTTAATGCATTAGTAAAATATTTCACTCCATTCATCCCTGATTTGACTATGAGCAAGCTTTAGTATCATGAGTATCTATTGTATTTTGAAACAAATAAGTAAGGAATAGATGAATATAAAGACATTGTCTTACAGTCGTATTTCGTAAAGCTTTAGTTAAAAATTGATCTTCTTGTAAACTAATTTTATAAAAACAAAGAAACAATATCATAAGTTTCTGTTTTCAATAATACAAATGAATAGATAATAAATGAGCAGAAAAGTTGTCTCAGTTTATTTTTTTGTAGTGCATTAGCTATATGTTGTATTCCTTGATAGCTGAATTCATTATTCGCTAGATCAAGTTTCATCAATATCTATTTTAAATAGTATCGATGAATATGAAGTATATAAATGATCTCACTTTGTTGATCGTTCGCCAGTTGTTTTTTTACTTTCTCGACATATAACTGGCAAATATCATTTTTTGTGTCATGACGATTTAAAGATCGAAGAGTCGCAAGATTTTCGTTCAAACATCGTTATAAAATTCTATGTCCCTATATAATCAATTTTTTCCAATTGGTTAAACAATTCTCGTAGTAATGAATTTCGCAAGGGCTCCTGCACAGTTTATCTCTATCATCTAGTCAATTATAAGTGTTTTATTCAAACCGAATTCATTTTTCAGACTATTTCTTACTTAAGAAATAGCATACATTCATCAGATTACGAAACAGTTTCATAAATATTATTTCTATTCATAGAGTCTTTTCTTAAAAATGAATTGAATAAACTTTGAACGATTCAAAAGAGAGAACTGTGTGAATTAAGCATTGAAAGGAGAAAATCAAAACCTTGGGAAATTTCTATTCGTCATACTGTCTATCCCGCTTGAAGGATCTTGTGCATGCCTACACACTTGTTTAAACTAGGCGGCCATATCAGAGACCGAAACGAACCGAACTTTTCTGGTTCGAGTTCGGTTCGGTTCGATTGAATTTTTAAAAATCGGTTCGGGCTCAGTTCGGTTCGATTGAGTTTTTAAAAATTCAGTTCGAGTTCGGTTCGGTTCGATTCGTTTTTCAAAATATCGGCTCGAGTTCGGTTCGAATCGACGCGAACCGAACCGAACCACTAGAGTTCGGATCGGGTCGGCAAAAATAATTAATAAAAGCTGTATATTAGTATTCTAATGGCAGATAATTGCTTATTTTAACTACCCTTTAACTAGTGACCCGTTTGAGAGACGTGAAAGTACTTTTTTGAATATGTAAGGCAACTTTTAAAAACTGAGAACTGCTACCGATCCAGACCGAGCCAAGATTGTCCGGTTCGGGTTCGGTTCGGTTCGGTAGAGTTTTCAAAAAGTCTGTTCGGGTTCGATTCGGTTCGATTGAGTTTTCAAAAAGTCGGTTCGGGTTCGGTTCGGTTCGACTCGAACCGAACCGAACTAGTTCGACTCAGTTCGGTTCGTTTTCGGTCTCTGGTCCATATTAGGATTGTTTTACACTTCGAAGTACAAAAAAAATGATTTAATGTAATTAATATATAAGTTTCGATTTGTTTGAAAAAGATAAGTCTAAAAAATCTTACCCAGTGATTATTCTTCACTTGAAACTGAATTCAAGTTTTAATATGTTGGCCTCATATATAATTCTATTTTTTCTTATACTTCGAACGACGTTTAATTAAGAGATGTCACCATTAGGTTTCATTTATTTATTTATCTCGAAAAAAAAACTCAAAAATCACAAGAACATAACAATTTTTGAGAAATTTCGAGTATAACAACGAACTTTTTCAACACGAAAAAAACCTATTCATTCAGACAATCGATACATATTTTCTTCAATTTGCTGAACAAATGGTGCACGTTGAATTTTCTTTTCCAATTTTTTAAAGAGAGAATCATCTTGTTTATCTTGATTTGGTTTCAGTTTTTTATAACGTTTGAAAATCTAAAAAAAAAGAAATTCTATTAATTGAATCGCTGTCGACTTTTTTTTTGGTACAATTACCTTTTTCTTTAAAGCATTTAAAGTAAGTGTTTGATCATTTGCTTTACTTAATGCTAGTTTAATTTCATCATACCATTCAAAACGAGGATTTGATGGTACGGCTTGATTATTATCATCTTGAACAACTTCATTTTCATGATTTGTCTTTTGTTTCTTTAAAGATTCTTCATTATCTTCATTAATTTTTCGTTTCGATTGTGATTCATCAACAACTTCTTTTTTAATAGGAACTTCGGATATATTTTGATCTTGATCTTCTGTATCAGTTTTTTTCGTTTGATTAGTTTCATTATTTGCAGGCTATAAATAATGAGAACGTTGAACTTATTTTTCTTTTATACTATTGGCCAAAAATAATAATAACAGGAAAACATAACCGAAAACTTGTGTTAGAACTGAAAATTTTATCACAAATAGAGATTAAGTAGGCCCTGAACACAAACGAAGATGTTCGAATAGTACAGATCCGAGTGTTATAAGGTCAAAGTAGTATTTGACTCATAACTCAACTATTTATCATTCGATTGAGTGCGAATTGATGTCTAGGATCAGAACTTATCGAGCTCTATTTATGATAAATGATTTTCAGTTGCAACGCTTGAGTTGTTATTTACTTTTACCTGGTATCGTTATATTTTGGCTAGTACTGTATATTGATATATAATTTACCTTTGGTAATAATGTTTCAAGTATAGACCATACTTCTTCGACTGCTCGAGGTGGAAAACCTTTAATTGAATTATTAACAAAATTCTATAGATTCAAAGAGATTATTTTTTTTAATAAATAATTCGAAAAACAATGAAGAAAAACTTACAATAAATTTTGCACGTTTTCGTGGTGTATTTGGATAGTATTGAAGTTTTTTTAATAAAATTTTTGCTTGTGTACTACCAGAATTAAGATTAATAGCTGATTGAACTATTTCAAACCATTGATTTTGTTTCTTTTCACCTTTATTCATATTTGTTGGTGCTGTATAATTTGCACCACCATATTTTTCTTGTTCACTAATACATTTTGTATGTTCTTTATATGAATCACGACTAAGTAAGTCAAAAAAAAAAAAAATATCCCAGATGATAAAAATAAGAATAAAACAATTCAAATAAATGATATCATACGTAAAATCTTTTCCACAATCAATACAAGAGAGTGTTGGCACTCGTCGACATGTACTTGCTATATGTTTATCGACTTGATTTTTTTTTAATGCTTCACCACAGCTTCCACAGTGGAAAACAACCATTGTAATGCTATTTTCTTTTTCTCTAAAAGAAATTAAATTATTCAATCAGCGGCATAACTCAGTGGGAGACTTGTCACGCTCTGTATTGAATATTTTTATTCAGTTCAATTAATTATCAATGATTTCTCACTATAATATTTTAATGTTATTGTTAATGTTTATTATAATAGAAAAGTATTCTATTCTTGAATGACCTATGACTAATCAATGAAGCTTTTTAATCAAAAAACAAAATGATTCATATCTAGGTTTTTATTTTGATGTGATACTAACGGTAGTTTATAGACTAAGAAAGTTAGTTGGATATTATTTTAAATAAATAAAAGTTACGTAGAATCAACAATATCAATTACTCAGAAATGTGTTTGATATCATAGAATGACATTAAGAATGAGAAAGACAGATATGTGACGCATAGCGTTATCTCTGGTCGAAATGAACTGAAAGAAGAAAGCTATTCATCTGATAAATCACTTTCGAATCGATATTATGTTGAAACATTATAAGCTACAAATACTCCGAAAAGCGTTTGTGTCATTGGCTTATTGCGGCGAGGATATTGCATTTTTACAGTAGTTTTAAATTGAATACCGTTGTGACAAGAATAACTAATTTTCGAATTTTAACTTAAAATTCTGCATAGAGACAAACTTTAAAGTGAATTCTTCAGATTTTGTCGTTGTTCCTATTCTAAGATGCAACTAAACTCCTTCCCACAATAGAAGATCCGAGACCTAGAATTGCAGAGGGAAAGAGAAAGAGTTATGGTAATAATGTATCTTTTACATCTGATTTCAGAATAGAAGCATATAAATAGACCTTAAACTTTCACAATAAGCTACTCTCGTTAAAATCAGTGTCTATTTAAAATTTCAATTAGAAATTCAAAAATCATTTTTTCTAATATATCATGGCATTCATTAAACTGCTACTGTAAATTTGAAGCCTCTGTCTAGTAGTAATCTAAGGAAACGAACTCTTTTCAAGATATTTATACTTCATTTGGATTTACACAGTCTTGACTCAAAAATGATTTATCAGTTTGAGGACTTCCCTGGACAAAAACTACACAATATTATATAGAACTACTTGATAGACCAAATAGAACTTATTGTTTTCTAACAAAGAACATCTACTATAAAAATATCTTTCATTTTCTAATTCTAATGAAAGAAACAAATAAATAACAAAAAGTAATTTTTATTTTCAAATGTACAAATAATTTTATTTTTTAAATCTTTTCGGCTCTTGTTTAACGTATGTTGAAGGTTTTTCATCTTTTCGTCGTGTTGACGAAGATGAAGATGGTGGTAATTCTACGCCAGGTGCACAACCAAGTTCTTTTAATGTTTTAATAAGATCATCATCTTTTTCATGTTCTTTAGGTGGTTTATAATCTTTAACATGATCAACACGTATTGCTCGACCAGCTAATTTAATATCATTAAAATTATCCACCGCTAATATTGTACTTCGTTGATCTTCATAACAAATAAATGCAAAACCTTTTGATTTACCAGTTTTTTTATCACGTAATAAATTAATATTAACTATTTCACCCCATCTAAATAGCGAACAACAAATTCGATATATATATATATATTTTTTTTGAAAAAAATATTGATTTCTTACTGAGAAAATACACATACAATATCTCCTTCGGTTAACTCAAAATCTAGACCACCAACATAGATCCATGCACTCTCACGATAAACATGATGCCAACTTTTATGTGTATTAGCTGAACCACTTTTTAATTCTTTTTCATTTAATTCATTAACTAAACGTGCTTTACTAAAAAGAAAAAAAAAAGAAAAAGATTTCTATCAAAAATAAATAAACTTACGTTATAGAATTCATAATTGTTCACAAAAAGAAATAAAGATTGAATTAATGAAATTACTGGATGTGAGAATATGAATACCAATCATTATTCATTCTATAGATGGCGGTTGATAATTTTTATGCAGCCCAACTGAAAAAAACAACATGCATTTGATAAGCCCTATTCATCATATATATATATATATTTAAGTTATAGTCACTAGAACATTAAGTATATCTTTTGTTGTCTTCTTTTTAGATTCCTTCACTTTTATTAAAATTTATTGCAAAACAAAATGAATTATAATGATGATTATAATCCATTTGCTGACTCGTCAATTCGACAAGCAACAGCATCACCATTGTTTGTACTTTTTTTTTCTTTATTATCTAGTTTATTAATTAAAATATTTTTTAGTTCAAATCAACCAGCAATTAGTGAATATAATCCATTTGCAAAAACAACTACAACAGCTCAAGTATATTTCAATTAGTTTTATTCAATCTATTCATTTATTTATTTTCGTTTTGTTTTTTAAAGCCTGTTCCACCTCCACAACATTCAAATATTGCTGCTGTCTTACCACCAACACAACCTGTAGCATATCAATCACCATTCTATGCATCAGCACCGGCACCAGCACCAACACCTAGTACTGTTCAACAACCAACAGAAAACTATGGTACTGATACAAAACCAGCATCAACACGTATTGATCTTAGTCAATATGAACGACAACAAACCGAACTTGAACAACGTGAAAAACGACTTGCAGAACGTGAACGTTCATTAGCAGATCCAACAAAGATTCAAAGTAAATTGTTAATATTATTTTAGAAATTTAATTTTTATTCTTCTATTAGTGTACATTATGACTAATTGAGTTAAGAATGAGTAATCATTTTGTTTTTACATGTGATACAAACCTCGACAAGAGAGATAAGTGAAATAGAAGAAAAACCTACTTCTATATAAAAAATGAATGAGCGATTTTCGAGATGAATTGAACAAGAAAATTGTTTCTAATTTTGTCATATTAATTGTTAATGACACGTTCCTTTCTTTTTCGCTTGATTTGATGATAATATTTTTTATTAACAGCTGACAGATGTGATTTAGTACTATCATTATACTAAAGTGGTACCATAAATAACTCTTTATTTTATTAACATTGACACGATCGCTCGGGCTCCGCGTAGACTCTCAGATAATTTCATCATACTGTTAGATAAAATCGTTCATCTTCAAGATATGCTCTGGCGAACACTAGTAGAATTGAAATGAATAGACCGTTTCGAAATGGATGTGAACGTTTGTTGATTATTAACGTGTTTTTTGTCAAGAGAAGTTGAGAAGATCGAACCAGTCTGTGATACCACAACTATTGATTATATGTAGTTCACTCGAACCATAATGAGATTTTGTTGTTATCTTATGTATTCATAACGTTTAATCGAAGCATGTTCTTTTAGATATGCATTGGAGCCACTTAGGATAGTACATTAATAACATTAATCTATCGTATGTATTTGTTCTTGTTATCTCACACGAGATAAACATAGTTCAATTGAACTGTTTCTCTATGTTCATAATAAACTAACAATAACAAGTTTTTGTGTTATATGTATTTTATCAATTGGAGTCTATATGAACTTCAGCTAGAGCAACAAATTGTTCGTATTAGAATTAACAGAAAGACTATTTAAAAGATTAAATCTAATAATTCATTATTTTTGTTATCAATTTGAATATATTTTATTTTAGAACGTGAAAAAAATTTTCCACCATTACCAGCATGTTGTCCATGTGGACCATGTTTTTTTCAAGATATAAGTATTGAAATTCCGAGTGAATTTCAAATTTGGGTTCGATATCTTTACTATTTATGGTTATGTATGTGTTTTCCTATATATATTCTGTTTTCTTTCAAATTACTTTTTATACATTTAGTTTATTCGGCTACATTGTTTTTGAATATGATTGCTGGTGTATCTTATTTTGGTAAGTAAAACAAAAATGATTTATATGCAAATATAAAAAAAATAAATTTTCGTTTGTTTTATAAAGCGGTTGATAAGGATGGTGCAGTGACATTTGGTTTATCACTTGTCTATCTCGTTCTTTTTGTACCGGCATCGTATATTTGTTGGTTTCGACCAATTTATCGAGCATTCAGGTTAGATATAAGTTTGAATAAATAAAATATTTTAGAATTCATCCTACTATAGATTTTTTTTTCTTTTCTTCTTTCAAACATGTATAACTATTTGAATGGTAGTGAAATGGAAAAATTTAGATTTTTGGTAATGAGAGAAAAGAAAATTTTAAAAAATCTAACTAATTTAATTTAATTGTACTAATCAACTTTTTTTTTTAAAAATTGATTATTATACTTTTGTATTTATCTAAATTAATCTAGAGAAGACAGTGCAGCAAATTTTATGATCTTTTTTATGGTATTCTTCATACAACTTATCATAACAATATTACAATTTCTTGGCGTTGCTAATTTTGGATGGTAATATATTCTATTTTCAATCGTATAAAAATAAGCAGTAAATAGGATGAATTGATAAAATTCGTTAAATAATCCTATTTTTTGCATTTACAATTGAAAATAGATGTTATATATTGTTGTCTTTTGCACATTTTTCACTTTGCATGACCTTATTTCACTTAACCTTGCATGCTTAATTACTTATTTGTTTGAAATGTATATCTCCTACACATTAACAATTTTAGTTTGACATGAATTCAGTTTTTAATAATTTAAATATTTTAAATATGAACATGAAAAAGAATTTGAAATTATTTCGAGTAAATAACATGTATTTAACTTGAATTTAGGACTGACAGTTCTGTTTACTTCATGATTTTCTTCGTCATCGATATTATTTTCATTGTTAATAATATCCTTTTTGCAGTTGGAATAATAGGTGGCATGTGGTGGGTGCTTTGCAATTGTTGTTTGTGCTATAGCTTTCGATATTAATCAACAATGATTCGAAATTAAATAAATAAATTTTTGCTATGTGTGTATTTTTCTAGTGGCTTCAAACTTATGATTAAGTTATTCGCAGCTGGTGGAAGCAAAATTGTAGCTGGTTTCATAGCTATGATTGTTACATTGAGCTTTGCTTTAATTGCTGCCGCCGATGGTTTATTATTGATGAAGGTGAAGTATAAAAAGTTAATTTTATGCGATCTACTATCTTTAAACGTGTTTTTATCTTGAAACGTATATAAATATTTTCTTTGAATCTAGCGGTTTTGCTCGAATTGGTATAATGTCATCAAATAAACCTGTTGGCATTATGATGATCATTCTTGGTTCTTTATGGTCATTTATATCCGTTGTATCCATTCTTCTTACAATAAGGGTATATGGCTGATTGCCATTGTTTAAATAAAATAAAATTGCGCTATAATCCCTAATAATGCTATTGAAATTGTTTTAAAGAAATAAATATATAAGTATCATGTATTGATATTTTTATTTTTATAGGTTCACCGATTGTATAAACAATCAGGCGCTAGTCTTGAACAAGCTCAACGTGAATTTCAATCAGCTTTTGTAAACAAGTAAATAAAAAAAAGATCAAGAAGAAGCAAAGAAGAAATTTTTCAATGCTTTTTAGTCCAACTGTTCGTGGAGCAGCTCGTGAAGTAGCAACAGCCGGTATTAACGAAGCAATACGTACTGATAACACTCAACAACGGCCAATTTATTAAACAAATGATTATTCTACTAATAAAAAAAAAAAACAAATCAAGCAATTTTTTTTCACATATTCAAATAAATACTTCTAAATTATGATTGTATTTTTGTCGATTATCTTTAACAAAAAAAAATTATTTTACTTTATTTTTTTTTTCTGTTGTCAAATCGGCGTGTCGTCGACAGGAGATTGAAGGAAGAAGAATTTTGTTTTTTGTTGTATTTTCTTATTGTCTATCATTATATTCATAATTCTACTTAATGTTGTTACCATGGTCTATTCAATGTTGTGTGGAATATAGAATACGTATAACTGAATATCTTTGATTTGTTTTAGATACCTATTTTATCTTCGTGATCTTTTGTTTTGTTTGTAATATGGATTCACTTGGCATGACAGAGGACATTGATAAGGTTATTTCTGATCCAATAGTACGAAATGAAGCCCGCCGTTATTCTATTCGTACACGTCGTGCTTTTTTACCTGATGAGTATATTGGTCATTCATGGTTTTTTCGTCTATTAACATTGGTGTACTATTATTTTTTTGTTTATTTCCATGGATTTGAAGGTATGGTTAAAATCAAGGGGGAAACGGCGGATTTTGGATTTTGATAATCCCAAAATCCAACACCAATATCCTGTTGAAGATACAGAAATTTCGAGCTGAAACTTTGTCCATATGTAGGCTTCGTGGTTCTTAAAATATTCTAGAAGTTTCAGCGCCAACGGATGTTATCTTCTGGAGATAATNCTTCTCTGAGCCAAGGGATATACGGCTGAATTTTTCAGGCTAGCTAGAGTAACTCAATATGCTTATGGCATAAAAAAATCAGCTCTAGAGGAGTTCATTATCCAGAGATATAAGCATTTGAATTTTGTGAAGTCACGTCCCTAACAAATGAAATTGCCCATATGTCTAGGAAAAAATTTGAAACGAGTGGAAATAGATTCATCAATTCCAAATACAGTCGCGGTTGATATCTATGGACTAAGTGAACCACTTAGAATAATTGGAATTTATTGGCCTGCAAGCCAACAGAGAAACTTAAAGGATCTATCCAATTTTGTTATCAATAACACAATAATAGCTGGAGATTTTAATGCAGCATCAATGGACTGGGGAAGTCCTACCGATGACAATCGTTCAGTTTTACTGAAAGAATGGATAGAAGAAAATGATCTCTTATATGTAAAAAATACCTTTAACTCTTCGAGGCGCTCTAAAAGAAACATCGATCATCTTTTTACAAATATCAGGAATGTAAAAGGAGAGACTATAGCCTTTGGGACTAGCGACCACTGGCCCATCATATATACTTCCAATACAATTAGCTATCATACTCACTCTTCGTTTCCTCATACAAGTTGGAAAGAATATGAAGTTCTCTTATGTTTACTTCAGGATTTTTGGTTCGATCTTCAAAAATCTATTACACTAGATGATTGGTACAAACTGTACATTAGATTTTTAGGAGCAGCAAAAAACCGAGTGACAACTTGGAAAAACAAAGAAAAATTTAGACCAGCTCTACCGGAATTTATTCGGAATAAACTTAAGGAGTTAAGAAAAGTAAGAAATAATTATTATAGGAAAAGAAGATATGATATTGACAATGAAGCAGAAAGAATTCTATTGAGAACATTAAACAGAGAAGTACAAGCAGATATAGCAAATTATCGATCAAAACGTTGGTCTAATTTCCTTGAGAAAATTCAAGAAAGTAAAACAAAAAATGATGTAAACTTCTGGTCACATTTAGGAAAATTATATAAACCAAAATCACTTCCATTCGCAAAACTGAAGGTGAACAATAAGATTATATCAGATACAGAAGTAATAGCACAAGAATTATATAAATATTATACTGATCAATTTCAACCTTCATATATTGATAGAAACGATCCCCACGATTCAGAGATTGAGAATGAATTCCAAGATATATTAAAATCCTTTTCTAACTCGATGGAAATAGAACAGACAAATATTAAAGAAATTTGTTATGCAATAAAATCTCTTAAGCCAAAAAAATCAGCAGGGTATGACTCGATATCGAATTTTATGCTCAAGCTACTTCCTCCCGGTTATTTGCAATGTCTCTGTAATTGTTTTAACCTATGGCTAAAAGAATGTAGATTTCCACACGATTGGAAAGTGGCCAAAGTTATTAGCTTAAACAAATTAAAGACCGGTATTCCTAGTAGCGATCAAACTCGCCGTATATCTTTCTTAGCAACACATTCAAAAATTTTCGAAAAACTTTTATTAGTAAGAATTCGGAATTGGGCAGAATTGAATAGCATTATTCCTGTTGAACAGTCTGGTTTTAGGCCGAATTGTTCAATTCCAACAAGAGTTTTGTCAATCTATCAAGAAATACAAAATAATCTGGCTGCTAATGTCCCTACACTATCTATATATGTAGACTATCAGAAAGCATATGACAAAGTTTGGCATGCAGCCTTAATTGTAAAACTAAATCGATTAAATATCCCAAAGGAAATTTTGAAAATTCTATGGTCTTGGATATCTCAACGGTCAGCATTTGTCGCCTACGGAGACGTCAACACTAATCAGTTTTCATTGTCAATAGGACTCCCCCAAGGAAGTCGTCTGAGTCACTTTATTTTTATCATATTTCACTCGGATCTCATAAAATGCACAGGTGCCTTTCCGACACATATTTTTGCAGATGACCTTAACGTATTAATTAGAGCCCCAATCGGAAAGAAATTAGAACCTATGCTTCAATTCCTGGAACAAGAGGGCTCCAGAGTATGTAATAAGTTGTTTCAATACGCAAGAAGATGGAAACAACCAATAAACATTTCAAAGTCAGTTTTTCAAGTGTTCCACTCCCAAATAAATCTAAGATCTCTTACAGTAACAATGAACAATATCCATTTAGAATGTGTAAAAGATTTTAAGTATCTCGGATATAACTGGACAAGTAAATTATCCATGTGTAAAACGATAGCAAATTGTTTAGAAAAGATTCAACGATCTTATACTAAATTAAAGTGGTTGAAGCGCAATAGAGGGATCTCTACCGAAGTTTTGCGGCAATGTTTCTTTACATATTCATTCCCCTATTTCTCTTGGCTTTTTTGTCTCTTTCCCTTTCTTCCGACTACACAAAAAGAGATTCTTAAGAAGAAATACAGAGCTGGACTGAGGTTAGTCCACCGATGCCCATGGGCAGGAGCACAAGAACTTCATGATTTTATTTAAGATAAAGAAGTCAGATCTATCGTCGTCACTCTTTTTTGAGGATATATCCTTCTGGAATGATTTTAAGAAAAGAAAAAATGATGGACTAGGCCATTACTTCCAACTAAAAAGAGTGAAAAATCTGATAAAAAATCATAAGTCACTCTTGGGTATATGGCTACAATTTGTTCAGGACAAATGACCCCCTCCCCCCCTTTTCTTTTCTTCTTTCCTTTTTAGCAAGTTTCCCATTCTACGAAATGTAAAAAATCCTCAGTTTCTTAGTCGTTCATATATGATTGTCTTCATCTGATTGGGGATATGAAGTATTTGCNTCATGAGTTGTTTTGCATGTTTTTCAAATATCATTAGTTTTAAAAGAATTTCGTCTTATACATTATCGAAGAAAAAGACGTGCCCGCTCCTCCTCTTTCGATTGGTGAAAACCGCAGGTAGCTAGGTATTGCGGTTGTCGAGTTATTGAGCTTACACTCACCCCTCTTTTATTCTGGCGCGGACATTAATTAGATACTAGGATCAGACTTTTTCGATCTTTCCGAATATGTTTTCAATATTTCCTTTTAGAGTAAGATTGTTTCAAAATAGATGTTGTACAGAATACTATTACAATTAATATTGTATTTCAATTGAAACCAATCAAATTCAAAATTCAAAACAGTTTTTAGTGGGTCAGTTTTGCTTGTTCTACAAAACGCGGTATTCACTTTTGCATGACAGATTTTAAAGCTTTTGTATTTTTCAAAACGGTTTATGAAACAGCGGACTTTTTTTATTTTTTTACTAATGTCGATTTCCATAGGAATTAGCTATGTAGTGAAAACACATAGATGAGATTTCGTTTATACTTTAGGGCTCTACAATAATGTTGAGTTGAACCTGTTCCAAGATACAAACAAAGGATTGTACCAAAACCACTATTACGCTTTGTATAGGCAAAGTTTTTGGATTCGTTTTTACAAAATTTACTGATAATTATTCAATCTTATCGGGAAAAAAATCTGAAAATATATTCGGAAATAGCGAAAAATTCTGATTTTAACCAGTTCTCTTTTAATGATCGAAATATAAACGAATATTTTGTGTGAAAACTTTTGTGCCATAGATTAATTGCAAAATTATTCCTCGTTTTAACAATAAAATATTTAAATAAATAACAAATGAAAAATATGTCCACTAAACTAATAGAAACTAATTAGAACTCATCCATTTAAGATGCCTCAATTTATTAAAAAGTGTATGTTGAGGTTTTCAATGAAAAGTTTAAATGGTTTATCAATATAAATCATTTGAATATCTATCGAGAATAGTAAGTCGTAGAACGCTTTCAACTTTTAACAATCATGAAATTATTTGTCTAGTCCCCGATTAATAACTCTAGCGGTCAATAGTAAGATTACTGCTATTTTCTTTCTTGCAATCGAAATTTCGACTTATTCTAATTGCTTATTCGATACCATCTATAAAGAACCTCTAAATAAAAATCGCATTTTTTTATTCTTCTTTCTTCGTAGACTCCAGTTTCGAAAGCTTTTTACAGAAAAAGTCTATTTGTTCTAATATACTGCTTTCTCGTATAAAACAACTGATATAGATGATGCTTTATAGAATTATGAGAAGTTACTCTTTTCGAATTACTACTCAAAACCAATTTAACGTGAAAGACAACTATAGGTTTTTTGATGATTTTTGACTACAGAATAGGATATCTGTACGATTGTAGAGAAAGACTTTTTCTATCTAAAAGTCTATGTATTATCGCGTACATAGAGGAAATCTTTCTCCACAATCCTATCCGGTAGTTAAATTCTTATAACTGCTCTTCAAGAAATATGCCTCGAGAACGGCAAAATAATCGTAATAAGTGTCAGAACGGCTAGATGCGTATGACTCTCCACCCCCCCCCCTCCTCCCATACACATCTGCTCCGAAATGTCTACCTTTGATTGACTTTCTTTTTCGTGGATATGCTCTTCTTTCTTCACACACATTGTTGAATCAAGTATTCATTCGTTGTTACGAGAAGAAACTCAAGTTTAAAAATCCTCGAAAAAAATTTCATAGTTTTTCGATCGTATATAAAATTTACTTACGAAGCAGTATTTAAATCTAGTAAATGTTTAGCATAAGCAATTTTAACTTCAACATAAGTTCCTTGTTTTTTTTCTTCATGAAATGTTGAATTCAATGTACATGCATCTATTTCACTACTATATAAAAGAATGTGACGGCCAAGTGTAGCTTTATTCATTGTAGAAAAAATTTTTTTTGGTGATGGAATTAATGGTGGATCATCTAATGTAATATAGTCTTCAAATTTATGACCCCAATATTGCATACGTTTTTCAATTGGTGTTTGTTTATTTTCAACTTTTAATTCTGTTTCTGTATGAAAAACTGACATAAAATGACAACCATTCCAACGTATAATTCCTATACGCCAATCAAGAACTGAATCAAATAATGATGACATTATTTTACGTAATGTTCCACGCCATGATAGAAAATCGAAAGTAAATCTAAATTTTATCATAACTTAATAAAGTATATGAATACAGAATGTTCCAACAAGTCTGAACACAAAAGAAAACAAACGTGAATAGTTCTTCAGAAATTGAAGGGATTTAAATATCTTTTTTTACAGCTTGACCACATATTCGTTTAAGTTTTCAGATAAAATGTCTGTGTCTATAGAAGTCAGAATTAAAACAGTTTTACTAATGTTCAAATTCAAGTCAGTTGCCATTGTAACAGGAAAGCTGCAAGTGGAACTTAAGGAAAACATGTCCAATTAAACATTAATGTTATGAAGTTGTTACTGTCAAAAATTGATCACGCTCTGAAGAACTTACTGCAATTACCGAAGAAAAAGTCAATGAAGTTCAGGATGCTTCTCAAAATGAACCAGAATCAAATGTTTGGTCTATTGCACAAACAGCTATACATGGAATTATAATGGAAGATCTCTCTTTAAAGTCATAGAAGACACAATTTGTTCAACAGTTCTATGAAGAAGAGTTACATAGGTCAAATACTTGATTCGGGCTCATTTTTACATACATCATTCATTTCTTCAGTAATTAATCTACAATCTTTCAGAACTCGAGTCCGTTGGATACAAAAATTCTCTGACTTGTACCCGGCTGAGTCTGATTTCAGGATCAACCCGACCAGCTCATTTCAGAGTTTCATTAATTGTCGACAGTACTGATTTCACAAAGCCACTGAAATGTGTTGCTAATGCAATGTTTAGTTGACATGTTTTTTCCAAATTCGATTTCTAGTTACCATTTTACAATGATTACTTATTCGACTTTGATCATGAGTAGAACTTTTTAATTTCGGATTCTTTGGGTGCAGACATTTTGTCTGTAATATATTAAATAAAACTTTAATGAATATGGGATCGAACTGTAAAAAGAAAATATTAAAATCCCTTGAATTGTTGAGGAGCTATTCACGTTTGATACTTTCGTATGGACTTTTGGAACATCCTGTATATAAGATCTTTACTTTTTATCAATAAATAATTCATTTTTACGTCGAAGAATCCACCACATCATTGAATCAAGTGAAGCTGGCGGTTCCTAATACAGAAAAAAAACCTAAGCTGAATAGAAAACATTAGATAACAAATATAAAAATACCCACTTTTACATCAAGATATTCAGCACCAATATTAAGATCAAAATGAACTTTTTTTTGTTCAATTGGATAAATTAATTTTTTTAAATATCGATAATCTTCTCGACATCGTGTTCGATCAGCACGATCAGCAGTTGAAAAAAATCCTATTTCTTTTTGTGAAAATGATACACGCATTGTATGATATCGACGCCAATAATCAACAATTATTTCACTTGGTGAAGAATATGATTCAGGAAATTGTAAACATGGTAAAAGAACTACTGTTAATTGTTGTTTATCATCACGATTAAGTGGAAATTCAACTGGTGGACAAACTATTGGTAAATTATGATGGTCTTTCTTTTTATTAACTTTTTTCATGTTTTTATTATTTACAACTAATGTTTTAGAAGCATGATTTTGTTCTTCAGGAAATTTTTCTAAATCTTCTTCATAATCATCACTTGATAAAGGAACAGATGGTGGTTCAAGTTCAAGAAATAATTCGGATGAATGTATAGTTTTTGATGTTTCACATGGAGTTAATTTAGGACTTGAAATATGCGGTGAGGAAATTTCTACACAGAAACCTTTCGGTCGACCACGACCAGTACAATCATCTAATTAATAAAAATAGAATATTCAAAACAAAGAACTTTTTAAACAAATTCTTAAACAACTTACAGAACGACGTTGATTGCCAAGATTGTGGAGATTCACACATAATTAGTTATATAAAAGTAGAAATTGAACAAAATTCGAATTTATGGGTAAGACGAGTATGTCATGAGAAATATCATTGGTTTTCATTTGTTGACAAATGAAGACATGTTGAAATAGTGTCGCTTGTGTATGTACAATTAAACCCTGTATGATATAAATAACGAAAAATTTGTCGAGGTTTATCACAGTTTCTCCTTCGAAATTCTTGGATAAACTATCTGTTAAAATATTTCACTGAGGACAAGGCAAGTCAAACCATTTTTACTTCTTCGTCGCTTTCTATTCATTTTTTCCAGAGAAAGTTAACAACAAATATTTCATTACACGATACACAGTTCTAATTTTTATGACGAAAGCAGAAAAGAAAAGTCATATATAAAATAAAATAATAAAACTACTCTAGATTTATCAACAAAATAAGGACAATGAAATAAACTCTTCTTTTTTATTTATACAGTTCCGCATCACAGTAAAAGAAAAATATCATTTTAATAAAAAAACAAAAATANGAAAAACCTACATTAATTGCCGACGTGTTAGCACAGTTAGCTTCTATTAGCAGAAAGGCATGTGAATAATGGGGAAAACTGGTCATCTCCTTAGGTCCCTGATGCGCTAACCCACTTCATCGATTTTAACCCTGACGCCTGAAACTATACCCCTCAATACTTCTAACAAGATTTTGCAATCCCAAATACCTTTACATTATGAGATGCTAGCTGCGTAAAATGACCGGTCTTAGCTGTACTGTGTACAAGCTTGTTGCCTTAGTCATCACCATCACTGTTTCAAGCCAACAACTATACGAATTTAGAAAGTCGTCTATTGACCCTAGCTTTCATGGATTCGCTAGCTCTAACTTCGATTATTGACTCGGAATCGTTCAGTATTAGTTGAAATTGGAATTGAGCGGATCACCATTTCAATTAGTTCGAATCGAAATTGAATAGAGGCGGGATGTTACCTTTTCGCTGACAATTACTGGGTAACAAAAAATTATTGCATCTCATTCTTTTGTTTTGGTAAGACTATAATATGGAAGTAGTGATTTTTTATAGTTTGACCAAATTAGCTGCGATTGAGGAAGCCGACTTGGTTACCATTTTTTCCAAATTGTGTACTGGGTTCTTTCACCAAAAAGGAAAAGGTTTTTGGAGAAAATGACGATCTTTTTATAAACCTTGATCACAGATATTCAGGATCAAAGAATCTGATTCTTTAATCAGCTTTTCGAAATTCTATACTTTCATTCACGGTCATGTTTTCTACTCTTAATACCTTTAGTCAACCTTTACAAAAGAAATCGATATTTTCCGATAACTAAATTGTCTTGACGAAAGAATCAAATCAAAAAATTTTTCGCCACTCAGTAGCTGCTAAAGGAGCTGTTTATGTTACGATAACTTCGTATCTTTCACGGATTCCAACTAAAATTAGGTCAACATTGGAGCTGGTGCATCTCTAGTGCGCCAACGTAGTACATTTAGATCGATGGTACCGTTACCGTTCAATCCTTAGATAGAACTCATTACTAACCGAAAAATCATTCGAACTTGAATAAATCAAGAGATTCGTTTGCTGTCGCTTGCTCACGCATAGTGCTATTTACATCATCTGCTTCGTCAATTACTTGATATATTAATATATATCAAGGTAAAGTCGCAATATTGGCTTATCATGAATAAAGACCTCAGAACTTATCGTTAATTCACTATTCATTTTGTGATAAAACCAACAGAAACTATATTAGAACCTGATAATCTTGTTTTTCTTTTATTGCATATCCAAAATTCTGAGAAATTGACATGAATACATGAGTAATGATTTTCATTGATTTCAAATGATTTCACGTGATTTCAGAGGATTTCAGATGATTTCCGGTGATTTCAAGTGATTTCAGGTGATTTCAAGTGATTTCACGTGATTTCAACTTGATTTCAGCTATTGAAATCAGTTTTTCCCCCTTGGCTGGAAGTACAAAAAGAAATTCATCTTAACTATAGAAAATGTACGTTTACTAATAATATTTTATTTGATGTAAATTTGAAGCTATCTGCTCTTATTAAGAACATCTTTTTGCTGGATGTCTTTATTAGGAACAGTCTACTTAATTCCAACAACCAAGGCATTTTTTAAATTTAATATCTCGTTTATTATGCGTAAGAAAAATCTGAACTTCTGGATTTTAATGTCTTACTTCATGATGAACAGTTTTTGTCATGGAAGTGATAAAAAATTTTGAAGTTTTGATGATGAAATTAGCTGATTAGTAATTTTTGAATATTTTTGCTTATTTTTCGCTGGTTGTTCGTATTAGGAACAGTTTTTGGCTCATTGTTCGTATAAGACACGCTGCTCCTAATAAGGACAAATTCGATCATCTGCAAACTACCGCTGATTGCTTAACTATTTTTTGAGATAATTTAACAAATTTTATATTATTGGATCCAGCAAACTTTTCTCTACTCAAAAATATTAAAAAATCTGTATGTTATATAAAATTTTCAGAAAAAAAGCAAACTCTCAAGGCGTTTGAAAAACTGTTCCTATTAGGGGACATGCACTGTAACTCTTCATATCTTTTCATTATTCACTCACACACCTTGATGTATTTCAATATGATATATGGATATATTCATATCTTTCAATTTGTATTCTATTACTCTTGTTATATTCCAATTATACTATGTCATCCTCTAATATATTTCCAAACTTGGTTATGTTACCTCTTCATATTTTTCAATTGTTTACTCTTGCACCTTAATGTATTTCGATATACTGTAGATATCTACATATCTTTCAATTATATTCTGTCACCTTTTCATATCTTCTAATTATATTCTATTACTCTTTTTATGATATGTCTTCCTCTAACATATGTCCAACTTGGTTATGTTAATTCTTCATATATTTTAATTGAATTTTATTACTCCTCGATGCATTCCAGATGTATTATGCCAGCCCTTGATACATTTCACCTTCCCACTAACATCTCATATATATATCTGCTAATTATTTGTAAAACAACGTTTTTGTAAAAATATCTATTCTCACCGATGAAATATCGATTCATACAATCAATAATAACAAAAAAATGAATCGTCGATCAGAAAAATTAGACGCAGATGCAGCTGAGAAATGGAACTCAAGGAAACATACAAACAGTCATCTACACATGTAACTCAGCAACAACAACAGCAACACAAATATTAAAATGGACAAGAAACTTTATATCGGTTAACACACCATAACTAGATAAATGAAGAAAAACCTCAAGAATCGGTTGAAAAAGAAATGATTCGAAAGGCCTCGCGTTAATAGAACTTTATTTATTTATTAATTCTCTCTATCTTTCCTTGATTATTGTTTCTATTCTTTGCTTTTTCGCTATTCTTCAAATCTCTTTTTCATTAAAAAAATTCAAACTAAATCAAAAAAATTACAGAAGAAAAATAAACTTTTGCAAAAAGTACATGTTAATTTGTTAAATTCAAAGAATTTTCCTTATTGCTATTTTTCTCTCTCTATCTGTTTCGCTTTGCTTTCCAGTGAAAAAAATATGTAGCAAAATCCTGATTTTTTTTATTGAGGGTGTAAAAGCCACCAATTTCCACGAAAAATTCAATATTCTATACAAAATCGGATTAAAATCGATTGAAATCGCCAAATCCATTGAAAAAACAATCGATTTAATCGATTATTCTGGATTATGGCAAGAAAAACCGGGTTTTAATCCGTAATCAATTTAAATCTTTTAATCGATTGTAACCCGAATTGATCAAAATCGGATGAACTGATTTTCATCGGATTAACCCCGAGTATCTCTGTTCTAATTGGATGTTAATCTATAATCGATTTAAATCTTTTTGATGGATTAAAATCTGAATTGAGTTAAATCAGATGAAGTGATTTTCATCGGATTAACCACGAGTATCTCTCTTCTAATCCGATGTTAATCTGTAGCCCATTCAAATCTTCTAAATCGATTGAAATCCGAATTGATTTAAGTCAGATGGAGGGATGTTCATCAGATTAGCTACGATTATTAGATGTATAATCGAATGTCAATCTTTAATCGATTTCAATCCTTTTTCATCTATTGAAATCTGAATTGATTTAAATCGGATGAATCGATTTTCATCGGATTTGTCATGACTATCTCTGTTCTAATCGAACGTTAATCTTCAATCCATTTAAATCTTTTTAATAGATTGAAATCTCAATTGATTTAAATCACATAAAGTGATTTTCATCGAATTAACCCCGAGTATCTCTGTTCTAATCGGATATTAATCTGTAATCGATTGAAATCTTTTTAATCAATTGAAATCTGAATTGAGAATCAGATGATGCGATTTTCATCGAATTTGCTGCGATTATTAAAGGTGTAATCGAATGTTAATCTTCAATCGATTTCAATCGTTTTTCATCGATTGAAATCCGAATTGATTTAAATCCGAATTGATTCAAATCGGATGAATTGATTTCATTGGATTAGCCACGAGTATCTCTGTTCTAATCGGATTTAAATCTGTAATCGATTTAAATCTTTTTAATCGATCTAAATCTGAATTAATTTAAATCAGATTGTGTGATTTTCATCGGATTAGCTATGATTATGAAAGTTGTAATCAGATGTTAAACTTTAATCGATTTAAATTCTTTGATGTTTGGGAATGTTTTCGGTTTAATTTCTGCTGCTCGATGATTATTTGAATATGTAGTGGCTTAAGTGACGCCTTTCAGGAATATGGTGCGTACTTAGGTAAAGAAATTGAAGGGAAAATGGGATTTGTGTTGCGAATTGTTTTTCATTTTCTTGGTTTGAGTTTGACTGGAGAACTGGGGTGCCATGTGGATAGCATCGGACCGCTTTTTAGACTTCAGATTTTTGAGAGCACGTACGGCGCGTGCATTTCATTCATCTATACAGTATGGGTCTCTGATTCAATATCGGGAGAACTGGCAATAGTGCAATAGAAATGTGAAACTTTTATACTC